GATTGAATGGATACTGAAGAGGACCAATTACCTGCTTTTGTTCCAAACAGTGAGAGCACCAAAAAGCACCGTACATTTTTGCACCTATAGAGTGCAAATGCCTTGCAAGAGAAACAGCAAAAGTGCTCGATGGTGTTGTAACCTCGGTTGCAAAAAATGGTATTTCCGTCCCCGCAAGGCTGCTCAAATAGAGAAAAGAAGAAAAAGTAGCATCAGGCGCATGCATGCCTTCCAGTACCAATTTGGTAAATGCGACTTCTAATTTCAAAAAATATGTGGTGGTTATTCCAGAAGAAATTCACAAGCGAAGCTTAACTCCTTCCAAGAAGCATAATATATCTCAACAATCAATGGAGTAAATAATGCTCCATTCAATTTAGCCAAAAAAATCGTATCTACGAAGCAGATGGACTGGAGACTAATGGACGATGTGTGGTTACCTTGAAGGGATTGATTGAGAAGTGCTATATGCAGTGCTCAGCGTAATTACCACCAAGCTCGCCATGCACAGCTGTAGTACCATCGTCTTTTGTATCTCCTCAAACCCAAAATCCTGAGTAGGCGATTGACAGAATCATTTGGTCTTATTCCATGAACCATCAACTTAATCGGTGGTACATGAAAGAAAATAGGAAATACAGTGAGCACACCTTTATGGTGATGAAGACTAGACTGAATGACAAGAAAGCCGACAATAGACAGTAAGAGCACGATGCTCCAGAGAATTTTGTGCTTAAAAGGTACAAGAAGTATGCACTAGCAGTTGCCATGGATGTTGTGATCCCAAGTAAAACCAAACGGCCATTAGATTCCCCAAGTCCAAAAGGCAAATCTTTTCCGCTCAACCTCAAACCAAGAGCAGCGACAGTTCCATATGCGATCATTCCAATCAACGGAAGAGGAATGCCTGTCAAGGCGAATATATCATGATCACAATCTGCTTTCCATACAATTCCACGAGACGATTTAGATGCATTCCTGGTATGCAGATTTATTTGTCTGAATGCACGAGAACGGATGCAGTCAGATTTTATCTAATTCAATAACTAAATCATAGCGCCAGCAAACCCAGTCGGGGGCATCAATGCGAAAGTTAAATCCCGTTCCCACATGCCAAAAGCCAGCACATATCAAGTCGAAGAAGTGATAGATGTAAGAGTGCTTCAACTTCACATTGCAAAATGATCATGAAGCCTAAGCAGCAAAAGCATATGCTAAACAGCGAAGAGATTCATCTAGTGCTCCCTTCTCTCAAATTTCCCGCTAAAATCGACAAGCAAGCAAAGCAAAGCAATTGGGAAAAGGGTTTTCTCTATGGTTCACACTTTGGACACTAAAGTCACATAAGTTTCTGGAAATCTACCGCACTTCATTGCAAGAAAATTAAGGAAAAAAACATAGGCTATTGATAAATTCAGCAGTAGATCGTTACTACACAGATCAAAAAGTGGAGACTGAGCAGAATACCAAAAACCGAAGCATAATCACTGTTGAGCACGTCGCCGCAGCTGCCGCCGCCGATGGGGCAAAACGCGTCTGAGTTCGTGAGCTTCAGATACGTCAAGTACGCAGTCTCGCAGAACCCTGCGCCCCCAATCCCCGCGCACAGCTTGTAAGTCAAGCCGCTCGACGACGATGAAGCAGCACCAGCATCTGCATCCGCATCCGCATCGGCATCGGCGGTAGCAGAAGACGGCAGCGACGACGCTCCGGCCTCCGGTTGCGGCTCCCGGCTCTCTCCGGACGACGAGGACTTCACCTGAACCACGAACAGCTCTGAGCTCCAACCTAAAAAAGAGAACAGCAATTGAAACTGGCGAGAATACGTGGAGGCGAAGGTCGTCGTCCCCGCTTCTCACCTTGAATTGAAGCGACCGGCGAGCGAAGGGAGGAGGAATCAGGCGAAGGGAGGCCGCGAGGTTGGAGAGGAACGGAGAAGACGGTGGCGCGTTGAGTAGACGCGCCATTGGCTGGCGTTTGTTCCCTCCCACCCTCCCTCCCTCCCCCTTCTGCGGCTTCTGCTGTTGCTCAGTTTCGGTTTACCAGAACCTTCGGCTGTGATGATTCCGGTTCGACTCACAAACACGGCTGCCGAATCGAACCGTGGGAGTCTAATCCGGTCGGTTCGGTTCGAGTACCGGTCCGACTTTGGATCCACTGTCCAACCTGACAAATTTTTCTACAAATTTGCGGAATGGTCTTCTTTGGCCATCGTTTTATAATTCGCGATGTTTTTTTTTATTTTTTGAACATAACAGAGGCTTATTATTTCATTTAACAATTAACCCCGTAGAATAAGAGGCATCAAAACACAGAATCTTCCATAGAGGGGGTGGTGAGTAAGAAACCCAATAACATGAAAGGGCCTAAACTCTTGAAACATTGACAACCCAATCTACTAACCTATTTAAATCTCGAGGACAGTAGGCTAACTCGAGACTCTCAAAAAGGGCCATGAAGCCTAAACATTCTGTGATAAGAGGCTCAACGTCCCGCGAGCAGAGAGAGGAATCTTGTAAGAAGCTTATCAAGGTGGAGCTATCAGTTTCTAGCACAAATTTCTGTCTAGATCGGCTAGCAAAGTGTCGAAGAGCGTGGAGACAAACAAGGGTTTCAGAGTGAAGGGCGGAGGACACTCGGATTGGTTGCACAACTCCTTCAATCAATCTCTCTTCAGAATCGCGACACACAAAAGCAAAAGCACTTTCCGTAGACCTCAAGAGATGTGGTCCATCGATGTTAATCTTCAGCGTCTCTGGCTGTGATGGTCTCCACCTCGAAGGTAAATCCTCCGATGCTCTCTCTCCCGCCTTGTTACTCCCGTTCCACTTCGCATAGTTGTAGTGCATGGCAAAGGCTGAGTCTACTATGCTTCTGGGACTAGGAATTTGCAATGTTTTTTTTTTTTTTTGGTAACCCGGGAACCCCCCGCACGGCCGACAGCCGGAGAGGTAAACCCGGGGTGACGCTAGCGCAGGACCCACCACCACGACGGAATTTGCAATGTTAGTGTTCACTATTTGGTAGAATTGTGTTTCCATGCGAACCGCACGTTATTTAGGCTGGTTTTGTTCGACAAAAAATATTTTCATTTGCATATAGATGATAAAAATGTTTTTTGTCAATTCATTTTTGTAGGAAGTAATTATCTTTAAAAAATTATTTTTTAAATTATTTATTTTTCAAGAAATCAATGGACCTTTAACGTAATAAAATATTGTCACACGTTAACCATCCACGAGGTATGCACTTATTTGACCTTGTCACAGCCAACTAGTGACAATTGACATGACATTTGTAATCCATCGTTCTTGAAGCCAACTTTTGTCCTATTTACGTGTATTGGATAAGATTTATTCATAGAATATCAGACATGGCAATTAAGGTACCTCTAGATGAGAGGCGTCATCATTTGAAGTTGACTTATCGCATTCAAATCAAGTGTTTAATCACTCATAAGGGTCCATTCTTCATTTCTTATTTACGTCATCTTAGAGAATGGCATACATTGTAAATACAGTCCATTGGGTCTTTTATTTTTACTAGACAATATATGATTTGAACGGCAAAATGTTTAGCTCAAGATGCCAACGAAGCATAAATTGCCCAGTCGTGACCGACGATCCCCCTAAGGTCAAGATAAATGGGGAAATCGTCTACGAAGTGTGTTTTGGGAACTACATAACAAGAGTTTTGGCCAGCAAAACCTCAGGAAAAGCACTGCAAACCCCTTTGAGGAATCTTTGCTTCGATGCCTTGCGCAGAAGCTTTGAGTGAAAGCAACGAACCACGACCAAATCACCTATGGGTCTCAAAAAGTCTCAACTACATACAGCACTACCGCCCATCCTCAGCCATAGCTTTAGGAAAATATAGTAGAAACCCACGAAAACGCCCTGTCAAATAGCACGAGTCCCACATAGTTCTGGTGGGCGAAGATGGGATCTAGCGTACGAGGGCAAAAGGGGGTTCGAAACAGGGGAAGAGGCATACCTTTCTCGGCCTTTTGGCTAAAATCAAGGGCCTGTTTGGTTTAACTTTGAAAATGCTATTTGGGGGAATGCAAATACCTTTGAGTGAAAGTCCATTGAGGAAATATAAATGGTGTTTGGTAAAAATATTTTGTCAAGCTATTTTGGCCAAAATATAGTGTTTGGTGAATTTTTTTTGCAAATGGACTTTGAGAATTATTTTATTTATTAAAAAAAAAAAACTAACCTACCCATCGCCGGAGCCGGCCGCCGGCGATGGCCTACGGCCGCCGGCGATGGCCTACGGCCACCGGCGAGATAGATCTGGCACCGGCGGCCGTTGCCCGAGGTCGGCCGACCCCCGGCGAGCCAGATCTGCCGCCGCCGGTGGTCACCCGAGGCCAGGCGACCCTCGGCGGGGGTCGCGCGACCTAGGCGACGGCCGCTTGGGTCACGCGACCCGAGCCGCCGCCTGGGGTCACACGACCCGGGACGGCGACGGCCGCTGGGGTCGCTCGACCCAGGCCGTCGACACCTGGAGTTGCGCGACCCAGGCGGCAACGGCCTGGGTCGAGCGACCCCAGTGACGGCATCAGCGACGGCCTGGGTCGAGCGACCCCAGGCGACCGTCGCCGCCTGGGTAGTTGCCCGATCCCAGGTGACCTCGTCGGCCCTTCTCCCTCGCCGGCTGCTTGGTGAAGAAGATGAACAGCTTCAAACCAAAAAAAAAAAAAAAAAGACGTGAACAGTAGCATTCGTGGAATGCTGAAAGCCCAAGGCTGGTCCGGACCAGCCTTGGGCTTTCAGCATTTGGAATGCTAGCATGAAAGCTAAACCAAACACCCCAGCATTTTGGGGGCGGCCGGCTGCCTGGTGAAGAAGATGAACAGCTTCAAACCAAAAAAAAAAAAAAAAGACGTGAACAGTAGCATTCGTGGAATGCTAGCATTGGCCAAATGCTAGCATGAAAGCTAAACCAAACACCCCAGCATTTTGGGAATGGGCTTTGAGTCTCGAAAGCCCCTTCCCAAAGCTGAACCAAACACCCCCCAAGTGCAGTATCTGTTCTTATTAATTTAATATATGATACGTGGGCCATCGGTTCACATGATATTAAATTAATTTTTCCAGGGAGAGGAGCTCATCACGGCAGCTTGCTGCTGGGGCCTCTTGCTCGTAGCCCATGCGTCACACTGCTGCACGGGCCTGGCGAACCCCTCCATTTCAGTCTCAAGCTTAGCCGTGCCTTGCATCTCTCGCCCTGATCTACTCGTGTACTTCTGTCTTTCTTCACTTTCTGAAAAACAAGAGAATGACACAAATATTGGATGATAAGCAGGATCGTGACAATTGATGTGCTTTCTTGGCACTCCTGGTGATACATTCAGCATCTTCCCCACCACTTAAGAACCAAAGCAAGAAAATGTGATTATGCCTCCGGAATACAAGGTGAAACAAACCACCAACGTAGACTACATTTGGTAATTGGGATGAAAGTCATAATGATATAGACTATGTTTGGATAGAATAAAACCGGATATAAAAGAAATATAACAGAATAAAAATTATCCCGGGTGGAGGTGAGATAAGAGTGAATAAAATTTCTTCTATGGATACTTGGATAGTATAAAAGCTATTTTCTTACCCTACCACAAACTCCCTCCTTAATTCTCTGATTCACGCAAAAGCTTCATGAAAGCAACAAGGGAATCGAACTCCCTCCGTAACTCTCCACTTCATGTCAAAATTTCAGAGACGGCGAAAGAGTCGACGCGCTAAAATTTTCAAAATCTCATCTCGATGTTAAATGCTTATTCTCACTTACTAATTCTGGTATTCTTTCGCTGAACTATCCTATCAATTTCGCCGTGCCCCATTTACATTTCTTGTCAGTCAATTCTATAGCCCAAGAATGCTATTAATGAACTCCTCTGTTGTTTGAGGTTTAGATTAATCATAAAAGATTCTTATCATTTCCGTACGTATATTTATATTGATATCGCAGTTCCTACCAAATTAACAGGATAGATAAATATCCAACAATATTACTACAATTCATCAATCGATAGAATATATCAAAATCCTTATATTTCACATCCTATTAATCCAGACTTGTAATCTAGACAACCAATCATAACCATAGTGTTCCTGCCTCAGAGGCATAGACCACAAAAGGATCATTTAAGGACCTTTTTAGTTTCGATTGCTAAAAAGGAAGAGCCTTCCAATACTCGGGGTAGACAATCCCAAACATAGCTCATATCCAATTAATAAGCATTAGAAAACACCACAATCTTGCTATTGACACCAGGACATCATGATATGGCCCGTCTTCAACAGCTGTGGTAACTGGCATGCAAAATAGGCCCTCGTGCTTCAACAAAAAGAATTTGGAAACACCAAATTATCGCAAAACATCATGCCACACACTTCATAAAGCAAAATACAACTTCATATTACAGATCATCGATCAACAAGTTCTAAAGTACGACGCATGAGCATAACAAAGAGATATGAAGAGTAACTGTTTCGTACACCTCTAGAAGACACCCCAGTAACAAGTCACACCTAGTCCAACCAAAATATCCCTTGCCAATTGGTCACACTTTTTCCTAAGAAGAACAATCACCTAGAACCACGAGGAGAATAGATAGGTGACCTTGATCTGTCCCTCCTTGACCTTCCACCGTAAGGTGAGCGCCTGGGAGAATAATCACGACCACCTCGAAATGGTGAGCGCCTTGGGGATCTACGGTACCCATAATCATCCCGGCCACCGCGATACCTACCACGGTCACCACCCCGGTCACCGCCCCGATCACCGCCCCGATCACCGCCCCGGTCACCACCACGGTCACCACCACGGTCACCACGATAGCCTGTTTGCAATGCAAGAGTACAAATTTGTCTCAGAACCTTCAAAAGATACCTATCGCCATTGTCAGAAAAATGGGAAGCAAAATCCTCACCATGGTCCCTAGTGCTCTTCAATCCAAGATATTGCCCAGGAGTTGGAGTCCGCGGTCGCTTCCTCCGTGACTGAAATAAACAATGCATTACCAATGGAAAGTACCCAACTAAAGAAAATAAAGCCATCATTCAAAAGGTTGGCCATCCAAATCACTTCTGCTACAAGCTCCGTTGCCAATTTCAATCACCACATAAACATGAAGAAAGTATATCCTTCTAGATAGTCTATCCAAAGGACAAGAAAAAAAAAAATCTCAAATTGTGTGAAAGAAGTTAACAGGAATAAAAGGAAACAAAAACCACACACTTAAGATTAGTTTTCCAACAAATGGATGCCGGATATGAGATACCATATAATCCTGACTAGAAAGTTGTTGCTAATGTCCGTTGATTAGTTGAGAGTTGAAAGTGAATGCTGAGGTTGTATGGTTGTTGCAATATAGTTGCTATGTTTAGTTGATCAGATGCTTTTGAAAAGCTGTTAAAGCCGGCCATTGATCAAGCTGTTTCACTTAAGTTGACATGGATGAACTCATCATCTTTGGTTGCTGCCAACATAGCTGACGCAAAGTCTTCTGAATGTATCCAGAAAACCTCCAAGTTTAGAAGAAAGCTAGGTAATAAAAAATCTCACTACTTGCCAAGATCTGTAATATCACATTACCTTCTCAACAGTGATGTACCTTCCTTCTAAGACAGACTGATTCAGATACTTGACGCAACGGTTAGCATCCTCAACAGAGTCCATGGTAACAAATGCAAAACCACGGGAGATGCGTGTGCGAGGCTCCACCACAAGGAAGCAAGAAGCAACCTAAAATTCAAAGTCAACTCAGCACCTAATGCCAAACAGGAAAACAATGTTCACAAACATGTGAAATACGAACAGTCCAATGAAGCTACTGACCTTCCCCTCTTTCGAAAAGTGGTCTTCTAGCTCCCTCTCGGTGACCCTAGTGGACAAACCGGTCACATAAAGTGCATTTCCAGGATTGTTATCGTCCCTGAATATAAATTTCACAAAAGTGGATAAGTGAAAGCGGCAGCAAAAGACAGACTAAAGCAAGCAAGATCATTGTCGAAAGAATATACGGAATGAAGTGCTAACACTAACCTGCCATGACTTCTGGATCTTGATCTGGATCAGAATATACCGGCATACCACACAAACAGAAAACCAGATTTCAGTCTATGAAAGTACCAGTGAGCAGAAACTCATAACACCATAAACTAATAAATTCAAACCCTTCAAATACCTGCCACGGCTCCTGGACTGTGACCTCGGCCGGTGCTTGGACCAGGACGGGGACCTAGACCTGGATCTGGACCTAGACCTTGACTGCTCTCTCCAAGGTGAGGGGGATCTTGAATACCTAATTAACATGCGAATATGGAGTCAACAATTCAAAGCAAGCAAATATGTATTGCTCCCATGTTGTGGATCAAATCATTATTTGCCCAAACCACGACAAATGCACATTGCCCTAGTAGCAAAAAAGATATTACCACTATAAGGTCCTACTCCTCATTATTAATATATGATGGAAGCAAGACTAAATAGAGCAAACACACGCATTTTTTCCAGACCAGTTGGTGTTTAAATCGCTAGAGATATAACCTGCTTTTGATGAGATGGGCTTGCCTTAATACATTTCAAGTCATCTAGGGACTGAAGCATTAACAGGAAGACCAGACACCTGAATTTTATCATTCAAACAATGAACTCTAGCAACTTAAACACCATGTAAACACGAAAAGGCCAATAAAGCCACACATGCTAATTTCTCGACGCGGACATCGACACGAAGTCGCATCCCACAGTCGCCCTCGCCCGAGCATCAGTTCACAAACGAAATACATAATCTACCCATTCCCTCGCTCGCGCAATTCCTGACCTAGATCATGCTAATTGGACGCCGCTTTTGCGAGCACGGCGCCATCAAGGCATTAAATTCGTCGGCAAAACAAAGAACGAAAACAAAAATCGGAAGGATCGAAGGCTTACTTCTTGCGAGGAGAATCCGCCTGCAAAGAATCAAAGGAAAGAAAAGCAAAAGCCACTCAGTCACTCGCAGATCCCACATACAAGATCGACAAAACACACAGAGAGAAAGAGAGGGAGAGAGAGAGTTGCCATTATCGAGCAAGGAAGCCGGAGCAAGCGAGGCCGAAGCGCGAGATGAGGTCTGCAAGAGCGAAAACTTCCTCCGGAAGATGCAAAATCTAGGGTTTGCAGAGTGGGAAGGAAGGAGGGAGACGACTCGACCGAGACGGAGCAGTATTTATATGCGCGTGACTTTTTTTGGGTCGGGTCGAGTGCTCCGCGATTTGACAGGATCCGGCTCGGTTGGTCCGACCGGTTTCGGTCCCCCTCCGCCCCAAAAACCGGGGAAACGTGGGCAAAGTATTTTTCAGCTCGAGCCTACCCTTAATTCATAAAGTTTTAACTTAAATTTTTACACTTTTCTTATAAAAAACGAATGACACCAAAGCGCTTTTACTTGCAAAGCAAAAATGACCGTATTGATAGTCTAGCAAGTAGCAACTTCCTCTTTTTTTTTTCGATAACTGCAGCACAACCTTAAAGACCTGAATATTGAAAGTTTCATGAAACACCTCTCAATTCTCGTGGACTGGTCAAATACAAGCCTATAACATATATATATAGATAATTTCGCTCCAAAATAATTTACGTACAATATGTAAGATTTAAATTAGTGACCTTCGATCCTTAAATTGAAAATTTTGTCCCAAGCGCCCAACAAGTTATGCCAACTCGGAAAGGTTACAATCGAGCAACTTCCAAATGTAAAAAAGCCAGAAAAACTAGTAATTGAATGATAAATGCTACATTAATTGAGAGTCAAGAATGTACAAGGCTTGTAAATCGGGTCTCATGCCATTTCCTTAGGGATAATGACACAAACAGTCCTTAAATTTTGACTCAATATGTAATTTGATCCCTAAACTTTTAATTTGTTCAATGAAGGATTACATTGAATATTATCATATAGTTCGTGGATTAAATTGAACATGTACCAAAAGTCCAGAGACGACATTGAATAAATTAAAAGTTCAGGAACTATATTGAACAAATTAAAAGTTCAGAGCCAAATTGCACATTGAGCCAAAGTTGAGGGACTGTTTGTGTCATTTTTTCCTTCCCTTATAAGGGCACGCTTCAAATCATAAATATTTTTATGGCAAAAAAAAATCATAGATATTTGAGGCCAAAGGACAATATCGCGTGAAAAGACCCATATAAAACCTGACCTTAATAGCTAGTTGTGACTCATGAGCTGGGTCTCATCCCCTATCTCTTCCGAAAGCTCTTTTTCTTGGACAAAACTTGAGGCTGATGGGTCAAATCGAACAATTTCTCATTGAAACACACATTGTTTGGTAACCAAGGGTGCGGGTTAGCAAGTCGGTTACCAGACACTGTGCGAAGCATAAACCAACCAGCAGGAGCCAAAGCTCCTCACTCGTCACTCAAGGTGTAGGTAGCTACTATACTACCTCCCCGACGGTAACCAGCCAAAGCTAACGTGGAGTCTACCTTCCCTACATGAAGGCTCCCTAAATTTTCTCTCAATATTTTTCTTATTGGGAGAAAAGGAATACGGAGAGAACTTATGGAGAAATCCCTCCGTCATATCGAGGAATTCCTTCTCCTGTCTCCACTTGAGCCTTTTTAGATCTTGCTCACGATCAACACGGACATAACTAAACTAGATAAAAAATACTAAATAGTATGTGGGGTACGTTCACTGTAAATTTCCGCCAAAATAGAAGCAATCTATGTAAGAAAGATAAATGCATCAAACACTCTTTATTTCGGCGACAATACAAAGGCACAACAATGATACAAATCTAAATGCATTCGGTTGCTAACTCGTTGACTTTAAGCTCCTTCACTCTTCACATGCATTGCTCGGGAAAAGTATCGGAAAAATGCAAAATCTATTGCATTGGTGTCAATTTAGTCATAATTATTTTTTTGTGCAAATTTAGTCATAAACCTTTTGATCTAATGTCAATTCAGTCATTCCGGTTGATTTTAGCAGAATATTGCTGACGTAGATATCGGCCGGCCTACATGCCAGCCTACATGCCATTGTAGGCGCCGACGTGGACAACTTTTAATATTTTTTGAATTTTCTTTTCTTTTCTTTTCTTTTATTCTCCCTCCCGCTGATCACCGGACCTTAGCGACCAGCTAGAGGCTAGTGCCGGCTCGCCGGCCATTCATTTTCGTGAATGGAGCCGTATTTACTTTCTCCTCGTTATAATATTATTTACGAAATAAGAAACATTTAATTAAAATAAATTACGTACGCTATTATTCACATACTTGGCGGAGGAATGGGTGTAACAACAGTGAATCCTCATTTTCCGTTCAACCAAGGCTCACGCAGAGTCTTCCAAATCCCGACCCCTCGCCCATGCGAGTGGGACTTTCATCGTTCGTGATCTCTTCGGTCACCTTTCAGACGCGAGATTGGCGGGTGCTTTCGGCCTCGGCGTTCGCGAATGGAGCCACAGCACCAGAGAGAGTTGCACACATTGTGTGAAAGCCTTCTCATTCATCAAGAAGAACGCGCGGAATGCTGAAAGAGAGTGGCCTGTGATGTTCCATCGAGACCCATGCATCTGCTGGGCCCACGAGGAAGGCTAAAGCACCCGTTCGTCTCCGCTGCAACGTGGAAAGCGATCAGATTCTACTTCAAAGGGAGTGCATTCAAAGGCATCCAGAACAGAGACTCGTATGATTATACATACCTGTTGGAACGTTGCAGAAGCAGCTCCTGCCTCAAAAGGATACACGCCCAGATCGTAATCGGGGGATTTGAGCAGAACCCATTTCTCGCAGCGAAGCTGGTCGGGGCCTATGGCGACCGCGGTGTGCCGAACATGGGCGACGCGCGTAAGGTGTTCGATAAATTATCGGACAGAGATGTTTTCTTGTGGAATGTGATGATCCGGGGTTATGCGAACTCGGGTCCTTTCGAGGAAGCATTGAACGTGTACTACCGCATGCGGTTAAGCTGCGTCTCTGCTAACAGATACACGTTTCCATTTGTGCTGAAGGCTTGCGGTGCCATGAAATGTACGAAGAGAGGTAAAGTCATTCATGCCCACGTCGTGAAGTTGGCGTTTAACTTGGATTTATATGTTGGGAATGCTCTTTTGGCGTTTTATGCCAAGTGCGGGGCGATTGAAATGTCTAGAGTAGTGTTTGGTGAAATCCCTAGGAAGGACATTGTCAGCTGGAATTCCATGGTTTCTGGTTATACTTCAAATGGATATGCTGGTGAAGCAATAAAGCTTTTTCGTGCAATGGTGCAAGAGCACAATTTAGTGCCTGATGACGCAACTCTTGTTGGAATTCTACCTGCATGTGCTCAAGCAGCGGCAATACACTTAGGTTTTTGGATTCATGCTTACATCATGAAGTCAGGTATGGAAGTAAATGCTTTTCTCGCTAGTGGGCTCATTTCAATCTATGGAAATTGCGGGCATGTTAAAATTGCAAGAGATGTTTTTGATCGAGTGTGCGACAAGAATATTGTTGTATGGAATGCGATGATCAGATGCTATGGAATGCATGGTTACTCAGATGAGGCACTCGACACGTTTTCAAAAGTCATAGAGCTCGGCCTGTGCCCTGATGGATTGATGTTCTTGTGTGTATTATCTACTTGTAGTCATGCAGGACTCGTCTCAAAAGGGTGGGAAATTTTTCACAGTATGAAAGCATATGGAATTCAAAAAACCGAGGAGCACTATGCTTGCTTGGTTGATCTTTTGGGCCGGGCCAGCTTACTTGACGAAGCGGCCAGACTCATAGAAACTATGCCCATTCCTGCAGGGAAACATGTGTATGGTGCCCTGCTTGGTGCTTCTAGGGTGCATAATAATATAGAACTTGCAGAAAAAGCGGCGGAGAAATTGTTTGTGCTGGACCCTGATAATGCTGGCCGGTACATACTACTAGCAAAGATGTATGAAGATGCAGGGCGTTGGCAGGACGTTGCCAGAGCAAGGAAGCTGCTGAAAGAGAAGGAGATTAGGAAGCCAATTGGTTGTAGTTCTGTCGAGATCGAGAGCATTCACCACACTTTTGGAGTGCAGGATGAGTCCCACCCATATGCGCAGGAGATATTTGAAACTCTCAAGAGTTTGGAGGGAATGGAAGACAAAGAATTAGTTATGATCACTTGAATGTAATTAGACGGAAAAATGAGGCTTACCGATGTTCTAAGATCAAGAGACAATCACTTTGAACCACTTTTCATGTTCAATAATTCAATGAGCAAAGACAAAGTAGATGTCTTGTTTCAATCATACATGGTTAAAAGGATTGGTTTGTCACTTTCACCGTCGTTGCTATGCATATGCGTGATACAGTCGAGACCCATTTTAACAAATGACTTGGTTCCTTGATTAGAGGTTTAGTTCGATATCTTCTTCTTTAGCTTTTAGTTTTGTCATCTTTAGTTGGAAAACATTTAATCCTTCTTGCTGTCTGATGGTTAATATGGGTCAAGATCAAGCCATTGCACAATAATTGACTGTGCTCTTGAGGATTACAAAACTTCAACTTCCTTTTGTAATTTCTCACCAAACTAGGCAAAATAGTAAAAGATGGGCAAAAGTGTCTGCTGGTTTTACATATTGGTCAAGATCAAGCTATTCCACATTAATGGACTCTACTGTTGAGGATTACAGAACTTCAACTTCCTCTTGGAAATTTCATGCCAAAAACTAAGCAAAATAGTAAAGGATGGGCAGTAGAATCTCATTTCAGACCTTTGCATGTCCTCTGTGCACCTGTATCACAATCCAAACTTTGGAATTTTAGATATGACCGACAAAAAATAGACACGAGCACCATCATGTCCAATTCCGTGTTGACCTCATCAGCACATACCCTTGGATTTTGCTCAAATACTACTTGTGTTGATTCCTCTGCTTTATGTTATCGTATGTTTATGAGGTCTTTTGACTTTTGATCCAGTCTTTCTTCTTGGTCTTAATTTTTTGGATCCAGTCTTTCTTCTAGACCTTTGGTCCACAAAATTTCCCAACTGATTTGCTTTACTTCACCCACCTCGTTTTGGACACACTGCGATTGATCTCATCAACCTTACCGTATTATTTAATATCAGTAAATTTGATCCATTATTTGCCCCACTGAAGTTGAGGACTTCAGTTGGGCTGAGGGTGACTCGTGAACTGTTTATAACTGTCCTTCCAATCGCATGCTTTTGACAAAGAATTTTGAAGTCCTCAACGGTTCATGAGTCACCTCAGCAGATTATGTTTTGACAGGTTCTTGCATCCTGTATCAGTTATGACGCATTAAAGAAATTATCAGAGCTTTGTCAGTTTTCTAAGCTCTGGTCTGTCCCTCATGTTTCTATTTTTATTGTTTTATAGGAAAAGAAATGATAGGCAGAAATTTGCAAAGCATCCACTGAAGATAGTGCATTCCTCCTGGGTACTTCGGAGAAATGTATTTCCGCAACAGTTATTTTTGTTCATCACTCCTTTCTTGGCTGGAAGCCCTGCCAAAAATATTTCTTTGAGACAGTTTCAAGTTCTGACATATTCCTAACTCCCTCATTGAACGTATTGCATCGCACCAAATCTCTTATTTATTTGTCGTTTAAATGGTCATGGGACTTCCAATTTTTATACTGAATATAAGAACCTCACATGGCGAAATCTAAGTGGAATATAATATTCATAGTTAACTCATTCAAAGCTTCTTTTATATTGCCGGATCAATGTTTGTTAGAGTGTCTAACTCACATGTCATGACTTCCTCTGGATATTTTACTTCTGATTTCAATTATATACTTTGTGAGCTTGAATTTTTGCTTGACTATAGAAGCTTGATCACTTGTTCACCGGCGAACCAAGCTGTGATCAAATCCTAGTTAGCTCTGAGGACAATTAAAGAGGAGAGCTTTTCTAATTTCTGCAACGGTTGGATTATGTGCATGGACTAATTTTTTTACACTTTAGTTCGCAATGGGATTGAGACCCTAAGAGATGCGTCAAGATGCTGGTTGCAGCTGATATTGAGTTTTACGCCATTTCACTCTGTAAAAAGCATGGCCAAAATAAACTTTTTATTCCATTTCACTCTGTGAAAAGCTTGGCTGAAATAAAAATTTTATGCTGCTAATTTTCGGGTGCATTGTTTTGGTGGTAACTTTTAAGCTACACTTTTCAGCAAAAAAGAAAAATGCTAAGCTATATAATTACGAACGCGTCATGCTATTCTAGTTAAAAAAAAAATGTTTGGACAGTGCTAATATGTATAACTAAATAAAAAGCATGTTATGTGCACCTCTTGAGATGATCATACTGGACACTTAATTGCGCTTTCTTGCAAATTCTTGTAAAAATATAATGTTAACCAGTGTACATATGGTGATGAAGTCCTGATTCACTGAATCATCTAACAGATTTACAGCCGAAGTGGTGGTGGAGGAGCTGTGGTTCTTCTCTTCCACAAGTTTATCTCTTTTTTGGGCTCTAGTACCATTTCATTTCTGCCAAGCACAATGGGTGCAGAATGCGGTATGATCTTCTTCTTCACCCCTTCTATTTCTTCGTCATCCGAACAATCTGGAACCACTGCTGCACCGTGATCCCTCCAGTCGAAGTTGGTCAGTGCACCGCGTCCACTTGCAAATTTCTTCACATTGGCCAGGGAGGGCATTTTCTCCAGACCCAAAGGCTTACTATTGTCAGCAACATCAGATTTTTGCCCCCGTTTTGCCACCTTGAAGAGCTGAAATTTTGTAGATGTGTGACTATTTTTCTTTACCTCTTTGGGACGTTTTTCTTCCCACCTGGTTTCTCCCGTCGGAGGCAAGTCCTGCCTGCTGAGCCTGCTTAACCTCGTCTTTTTCTTCTTGTTCTTCACTTGACCTATGCACGAAACTATTGGGGAGCCAGGTTCCCGGGCGTCAAAGCTTCCATTCTTCAGTCTTCTTCTTGCATCCTTCGGGATTATGGACGCAGCAGGAACCGAGAGCGCTTTCCCGGGAGTGGCCTTTCTGGGACTGATCGGCGGGCTCTGGAAGGTAACTGCTGGCGCCGTTTTTGGCAGAAACTTGAGCAGCATGCCTTTCAGTTTCGATGGCTTCCCCTTCTCCATTATGTTTGCACTATTGGTCAGGCAATTTTACGGTTCTGGAATCCTTAATTTTTGTTCTAGACAGAGTACATATACATATATATAGAACGCGGTAGGAGGTGTAACGACAACAAGAGAGCTAAGGCTTTAGGAAGTGGCAGAATGAGTCAGTTGACCTTTTCATTAAGTAGGCATAACAGAGGAAATAGAAAATCGGAGTGGTTGACAGAATAATGATTCCTTCAGGCAAATGAACATTTCTTTGGCCGGCCAGAATTGAGTAACGGGTCTTCACCAATCATTGTGGGTGGGGGTACATGAGAATTGACCTGGCCTTCTTTATGATGATTGTGTCTGCATTAGATAAGAAATCAGCAGACCGTGCTCGTTCAGGTCCCGGTTAAAACCGAGTCGTGAAGCGAGAAAGCATGCTTTGTTGGAGACCAATCACTCAGTTACCCATGCTTAGCTTGGAGGTAGAATCGAACCAGAAAAAATCTCGCCGCACCACGCTCCACTCATTCGAATCTAGAGCGAATGATGGTCATTTGAATCTAGAGCGAATGATGATTTGGGATGATCACTTTCTACACACTTGTTGCCACGGCCATGGGCTCTCAAAGTGTCATTTCCGCGTGCATTAGTTGCGTCCAGCTTAGTATGTCATTTCAACCCCATCATCGTATAGCCGGATTGTCATAGTCTCTTGGAGAATTCGATGCTGCACTAGCATCGGATGTTTTCTATTGTTTCACGATCTAAGAGCAATCCCAAATGTGAAACCAGGAGAGATTCTGTTTCCTTATTCTTTGACATCATTCATTCGTATCCGATACTACAGGCCAAGAATCTCTCATTGGACGTTTAGACAAGCCAGCCGTCTGTGTTTTGTAATATTCTGTATATGCAAAGCTTCAGTTTGCGGAATCCGTCATATTGGAGGCCGTCCCTCAAGTAAAAGCCTTTTTGCTTACTTTTTCATTTGAATTTTGCTCTGTCAATGTCGTTTCGTCCATTCCTTTCCCACCAAAAGCATAGTCCCAAACTGGGTCCTTGCTTGGCGGCCGGGGTTTGATGTCCAAGCTTGCCGGGTAGGGCCGGCCGGGCCGGGATTCGACCCCAAATTACAAATTGCAAACGAATCCATCATGTTTGACTCACTCACATGGGTGTTTGTTCATGACTTACCTGATCCGTGGTGCGAGTGAAATATTTCGTGAGGTCGAGGTATAATTATATATCCTGCCATAACAAAATGATTAATCTTTATACCATCGGAATAACATACACATGATATCAAGAACCCGCTAATTGTATCATCTCTAACTAAGATTTGGCGCCAGCTCTCATTCCAAGATTTAAGTTCGGGATGATTCAGTTCGTATTATGAATTAGGGCGATTGAATATTTTAATAGTTGAAGTATCTGACAAGCTTATATTTTAGGGAAAATGACACAAATAATCCATGAACTTTGGTCCAATGTAGTTATATTGAACATTTTCATATTGTTCAGGGACTAAATTGAACATGTACCAAAAGTTCAGGGACCACATTGAACAAATTAAAAGTTCGGGGAGCACATTGAACATTAGGCTAAACTTTAGGGACTACATTGAACAAATTAAAAGTTTAAGGATCAAATTGCATATTGGGCCAAAGTTCAGGGGCTTTTTGTGTCATTATCCCCACATTTTATTAAAAATATAAAAACCGGTTCATAAAATCAGTTTAAATTAAAAGCAAATGGGTGTTTTCATGGGAAAAATTACATTTGACCGGTTAAATAAGTATATCACATCCCTCTGCCAATTAATTTTTTCGCATTTCGACATTATTCCAATTTCTAGATGGTCGCGACAGCGTCGTAAATGACTTTACGTGTGCCGAAGACGAAAGGCAATTCGATCTCCCCCGAAGTCAACGCATACGCATTCTTCATTTCTTCTTCTTCTTTGTGATCAGTTCTTCATCATCGTCGTCTTCAATGCCGTCGATCTACACATGCAAGGAATGTGGGCCCAACCTCCACCTCAGCACCCTCCACCTCTACCCGCCGGACTTCTGCTTCGAGGCCGAGAACAAGGACTCCCTCTCCTTCTCCTCCGTCGACGCCTCCAAGTTCCGGTTCGAGAAGGAGGACAAGATCAGGCCCTTCTTCGAGACACTCAACCACTGAGGCATCCAGTGGAGGCGGACCACAATCATTTGCAACCCCTGCGGCCGCATCATCGGTAACGTCTACAACGATGGGCTTCCAATGACAGACAGTCCGGGGCAATTCCACATGGGGCCGAGTCTGGTGATCCCTAGGGCTCCGAGATATAGGTTTAAGAACAAAGCTCTTTTGAAATAGTTTGTTATCATAAGAGAGGTAACTCTTGGTTAAGAAAAGATGCGACTCTTGGTTATGAAAATAGGCGACTCTTGTTATGAAAAAAGGTTACTAGTGGTTATGAAAGGAAGTTATAAGGGTAATGATGGTTGGGGATAAGGTATTATTTCCGAGAGATGTATTAACTAGTTATCTGTGAATAGATACCAAATCACACATAACCAGAACTGTTCATATCAACAACTTCTTCTTCGAAACTTTATTTTCTTCTCTTTTCATACACATAACTTTGACAACGCATTCAAGATAAAATTTCAAGAGAGAAATTGAATAATTGTTGAACTCTTTTCTCTACAGTTTTGGTGTATATCCTAGAGGCATATTTGTTTCAAACCTAATAGCAACAATAGTGGGAGCAAATAATACTTTAAGAACAGTGTTCATCATTACGCATCAAAGCATCAAATATCCATCACTACAGCTCTATCTTCCATATACATAGGGACTCATCGCCCACCATCCTACATATATGGATCACGACGACAAAGTGATGCATCGAACCGATTCAATAGAGGATGTATAATTTTAGATATCCGGGAAGTAAATTCTCTAATACTAATAATTACGAATATGATTATCGACTGCAATTTTTTCCTAAACCACAACACCGGTTATAACAAGGTAAGAGCATAAGCCCGATGTAGTCCTGTGATTTTTGTGTTCGAATTTCCTGGACAGACACCGAGAGGTCGAGCATAAGCCGCAAAACTCGTACGTCATTTAGGGGTCAATTTGGACCTTTGTCGTGTGTACATTGCGTAGCAAAATGTAAGAGTCATGACACTTGTGGTCCATCTATTCAAGGAATGCATAGCAAAACGGCTAATTTAGTATAGTCAAAAAATAAATAAGATAAAATAAAATGATTGTAGAGCCTCCAAATGGGGACGTTCGGGAGCTAACTCAATTTAATTAATGTTATTCCAAAGCAGCTAAATCGAAGTTTAGGATGAAGATATGGAACATGACGACGTCTTATACAATGAGAAATTAGGACAACTGAGCCAATTCTCGTGGGATATAGGATTTGGCAAATTGGTCCCTCTCTCTTTATTTATATATTTAACTATTTAATTTTTTTGTGACTTTTAACATTGCTTAACTTCAAGAAAATGGAAAAGAAAAAAACTAAAGGTTAATATCACAAAAAATCTTCAAGTGGTACATTCGTTGTCACATTTATCTCAAACTAATTTATGTGTCACAAAAAACCTCAAATTAGTTTTTTGTGTCTCAAAACATCTCAAACTAGTACATCCGTATCACATTTACCCTAAACTGATTTTCATGTCACAAAAGATCTCAAAGTTTGGAGTAAACGTGGCACGGGTGTACCGGTTTGAAGTAAATGCGGCATGGATGTACCTATTTAAGATTTTCTGTGAAACGAAATTTAGTTTGAAATAAATGTGGCACATGTATATCCTTTTTGAGTTTTTTATGACCCGAAAATCAGTTCGGAGTAAACGTTGCACGAGCGTATCGTTTTCATATTTTTTTATGGTATTAACGCAAAAATTAATAGACTAAGGTTCATGTATTCTCAAATAGGCATAATTATGTTGCCAAAATAGGAGGGCCCTAATGTTTGGGCCTTAGTCATTGGGGAAGGCGTGACATCTTTCGTTTAATGCGTTGTTGGACCCGCGTGAAATTACTATATGTGGGCTTTGCACTAACTATAAGGTCCATAGATATTAATCTAAGTAGTTTTTCAACTTCTAATTCCCCGTAACTTAAATATTACATTAGTGCCAACACGCGCTATAATGCTCACTAGCTAAGTGATAAGTTCCGCGCATGCATCAATCCAATAAGCATTTTGTATAAATTTTTTTTGAAATAAAAAATAACGAGGAAAGAATAGAAAAAATACTCACAATTTTAATTATATAAATGTTGACATGTTAATCCACATGAAACTTTTTTACCTTTTGAAATATAAATAATGTTCTAGATTTTGAGGAGAAAATAGAAAAGATTACACTAAATCTTAAAAGCAAACAAAAGATATAATATAACTACTGCAAACGGGCTCTAAATGTCCGAATTTCCGAATATGTTTTATGGACATTTACGTAGTGTTTTTGCTCCACAAAACAGCCCAAAAAAGAGAAAAACAAAAAACGAGAGATACTTACCATGGAGTGTGTGTACGTGATTTGCATGCAGGAACAGTTTGTGTTGGCCGGCCCGTATGGCTCGGCCGAGCGCCTTAGGATCACCATAGCGAGATATTAACGGTACGGTAAAAGGATGGATAGAATTTGTGCACCTGTTTTGGATTCCATCGGCCTGGATGCGGAAATGACGATGAACCGGTGCCGTAGGTCTTCTCCCCTGTCACCCCCGAAGCCCCGGCGCTATGAGACCGCCTCAGCCAACCTCAGCCAACTCACGGGAGCTTTAGGTGAGTTTGAGAGCGTTTGAGAGAGATTGGAGAGAGTTAGGTGCAGAGGAGGGACCTGCAGCTCTATTTATAGAGTTTCCAGCCAGGCCCTCTCATAACGGGCCGGGCCGAACTCGGCCCACACAAGCCGGGCCTATATCTGACCAATTAAGAAACCTTATATCCAAACTTATTAGACCAGACCCGTAAGCGGGTAATAACAATCTCAATTAATGTAACCCACATTAGGAAAACGTTACAGTTTGAACTACAGATGTTGGAAATACGTGATTGCGGAGGAGATGCCAAAGAGCGGGACTACTTTCTGTTAACTGTGATTTTGCCTTGATCAGCTTCGTGTCTCGCTCAGGAAAATCCTCGCGTAAGAGCTCTCAACAAGTCACTCTCGGCTTTCACTGCGCCTGCCATGGACATCCCGACAAGAGCTGACCGCTTCATCTGAAACACGACGTTGAACACACCCAGCTTCAACCCCTCTCCCTCTCTCTCGCAGACCCAGTTGGCGTGTCGAATTCGATCGTGGGTGATCTTTCAGAAATGTGATCCAACATGCGTTTCAACTGTTTTCTGTCGAGTTCTTGAGACAAATTAAGCACGTCCCGTCGTGTGATTAACGAGTTCTTTCTTTAATTTGCTTTTTGCTAAGCCCAGTTCCTAATTGCTATCATCTCTCGTTGAGTTAACACATTGCAACAATGCTATACTTCTTGTTCGTGTATATGGTGGGCTACAATTTGATTTTTGTAATTATTTACCAAGATTCAATAGTTAATTATTCTTGATTGCTGACGGTAAGGATAGATGATCCAAATAACGAATTTACTAAGGAATTGTATGGCAAGAAGCCATTAATCTTATTGGGAGATGGGACAAACACATAGAGCTTAATCTAAAGTGTAAATGTGAAGTCTAAGGACTTATTGCGAATGTTGAGAAACAAGTGGACTCACAAGCATCAACAGCCATGTGATGCTTGTGTGAACTTTGTATTTGTATTTGTATTAAGATATTCCCAAGTCAATATTAGGTCAATATTGTAAGGCAGTCGCTGTCCAATCCAGCTCCGAGGGTTTAGCGGCACTTCCAAATCTCTTGATGGAGTGACACAAAATAACTTAGCAGGGATCTTTGATGTGGGTGATCATTAGTTCGTGTGATCGAATTCATTGTATAGATGACTTATACAAATGATCAATTGGTTTGAAAAGGCACAAAGTCGGGAGCATTTACAGTGAAAAGTGGTTACAATAAATTGTGTGAAACAGAGTCAAAGGCACCAGCGTCTTCAAGCCTCCTCTTCTTTCCACCCTCCTCGTAAATTGTGGAAGCAGATATGGGATATGCAGACCAGTTCAAAAATTAAAATATTCCTATGGAGTCTATGTCAGAATGCGATTTATGGAAAAGGAAGAGTATACCTGAACCAATTTGCTCGCTCTGCAAACAAGAAGTGGTAACGTCGGAACATACTCTGTCCCTGGACAAGACAAATCTGCTTAGACCCATCGCTGAACCTGCAAATCACAAGGGTGGGTTTAACTAGTATAGACACATGGTTACTAAAACTCACGGAGACAGTAGCAACATCACCGTCGCTTGAGCACGTAGCAACCAGTCTTATGGTTTCATCTTTAGACGACAATCTCCAGACCCGAGAAGCACTCTAGAGGAAGTAAAGGTCGAGCGAACCAATTTCAGTAAGTGAAACACAAACAGCAAACCCACGGAGCAGAGTAGCTGAAACCAACCTCAGATCTGGGACTCCACCGAGAACGGGAGCTCCGAGGGTTAACATAAGATGGGTCGTTCGAGGAAGGAGCTCCGGATGGAGCGATCGCTTCCATATGCCGCGACTGCACGGGAAGCATTGTTGACGGTTTTGCGAAAACGGTGAAGGCTGCCTCTGCGTTTCACGCCGAAACCCTAGCCCTAAACGAAGCTCTGAAGTATCTGCCGGAGAGGAAACACGGACTGTGCTGAAGAACAATGAAGAAAGTGGTTTGGATAGAACAAGATCAAGTCCGGCGGGAAGGGAGGCCGCTTATCAGCGATTGTCGTGATCTGACTTATAGGCTCTGCTTTGTAATGAGGCCCACTTATGGGCCCCTTTGATTTTCAGTAGTTTGCGAATAAAAGCTCTTTCCGACAAAAAAAGAAAATCTCACGAACTGGTTAAATACAAACATGTAACATACATATAAGATAATTTCGACCCAAAACAATCTACATATGATTTGTGAGATTTGAACCAGCAACCTTCCATACTTAAGTTGAAAAAAATTTGCCGACGCACCCGACATATCATGCCAACGCTGAAACGTTGCAACCTTGCAAACCGGGGGGCCAACGGTTGCCAGAGCAAGGAAGCTGCTCAAAGAGAAGGAGATAAGGAAGCCAATTGGTAGTAGTTCGGTTGAGATCGAGAGCATTATTCACCACACTTTTTGGAGTTCAGGACGAGTGCCGCCCATATGCGCAGGAGATCTTTGAAACTCTCAAGAGTTTGGAGGGAATGGAAGATGAAGAATTAGTTATGACTTGAATGTAATTAGACGGAAAGATGAGGCTTACCGATGTTCTAAGATCAAGAGACAATCACTTCAACCCATTTTTCATGTTCGAGTTCAATGAGCAAAGACAGAGCAGAGTACATGGTGTCTTTGTTTCAATCATACATGGTTAAAAGGATTGGCTTGTCACTTTCACCGTCGCTGCTATGCATAGGCGTGATACAGTGGAGACCCATTTTAACAAATGACTTGGTTCCTTGATTAGAGGTTTAGTTCGATATCTTCTTCTTTGGCTTTTATTTTGTCATCTTTAGTTGGCAAACATTTAATCCTTCTTGCTGTCTGATGGTTTTACACATGGGTCAAGATCAAGCCATTGCACAATAATTGACTGTGCTCTTGAGGATTACAGAACTTCAACTTCCTTTGGTAATTTCTTACCAAACTAGGCAAAATAGTAAAAGATGGGCAAAAGTGTCTGCTGGTTTTACATATTGGTCAAGATCAAGCTATTCCACATTAATGGACTTTGCTGTTGAGGATTACAGAACTTACAACTTCCTATCTGTAATTTCATGTCAAAAACTAAGCAAAATAGTAAAGGATGGGCAAAAGAATCTCATTTCAGACATTTGCATTTCCTCTGCGCACCTGTATCACGATCCAAACTTCGGAATTTTAGATTTGACCAACAAAAAATAGACACAAGCACCGTCATGTCCAACTCCCTGTTGTCCTCATCAGCATATACCCTTGGATTTTGCTCAACTATTACTTGTGTTGGTTCCTCTGTTTTACGTTATCGTTTATTTATGAGGTCTTTTGACTTTTGATCCAGTCTTTCCTCTTGGTCTTCATCCTTTGGTCAACAAAATTTCTGCCGAACTATTTTGCTTTACTTCACCCACTACGTTTTGGACTCACTGTGATTAATCTCATCAACCTTACCCTTATTATTTAATATCATTAGATTTGATCCGTTATTTGCCTAACTGAAGTTGAGGACATCAAAATTCTTCGTCAAAAGCATGTGTTTGGACAGGGCTAATGCGTATAACTAAATAAAAAGCATGTTATGTGCACCTGTTAAGGTGATCATACTAGACACTTAATTGAACTTTCTTGCAAATTCTTGTACAAATATAATGATTAATCAGTATACATATGGTGATATAGTCCAGATTCACTGAATCATCTAACAGATTTACAGCCGAAGTGGTGGTGGAGGAGCCATGGTTCTTCGCTTCCACAGGTTTCTCTTTGTGGGGCTCTAGTACCATTTCATTTCTGCCAAGCACAATGGGTGCAGAATGGGGTATAATCTTCTTCTTCACCCCTTCTATCTCTTCGTCAACCAAACAATCTGGAACCACTGCTGCACCGCGATCCCTCCAGTTGAAGTTGGTCAGTGCACTGCGTCCACTTGCAAATTTCTTCACATTTGCCAGGGAGGGCACTTTCTCCAGACCCAAAGGCGTTATTTGCCCGTGTTTTGCCTTCTTGAAGAGCTGAAATTTTGGAGATGAATGACTATTTTTCTTTACGTCTTTGGGACGTTTTTCTTCCAGTCTGGTTTCTTCTGTCGGAGGCAAGTCCTGCCTGTTGCGCCTGCTTAGCCTTGTTCTTTTCCTCTTCTTCTCCACTTGTCCTATGCACGAAACTATTGGGGAGCCAGGTTCCCGGGTGTCAAAGCTTCCATTCTTCAGTCTTCTTTTAGCATCCTTCAGGATTATCGACACAGCAGGAACCGAGAGCACTTTCCCGGGAGTGCCCTTTTTGGGACTGATCGGCGGGCTCTGGAAGGTAACTGCAGGCGCCGTTTTAGGCAGAAACTAGAGCAACATGCCTTTCAGTTTCCCTGGCTTCCCCTTCTCCATCAGGTTTGCACTATTGGTCAGGCAATTTTATGGTTCTGGAATCCTTAATTCTTGTTCTTTGCATTAAGTAGGCATAGCAGAAAAGGAGAAAATTGGAGTGGTTGACAGAATAATGATTCCTTCAGGTAAATGAACTTTCTTTTAGCCGGCCAGAATTGAGTAACGGGTCTTCACCAATCATTGTGGGTGGGGTACATGAGGATTCAGCTGGCTTTCTTTATGATGATTGTGTCTGAAATTAGATAAGAAATAAGCAGACCGTGCTCGTTCAGGTCCCGGTTAAAACCTAGTCATGAAGCGAGAAGGCATGCTTCCTTGGAGACCGAATCACTCAGTTACCCATGCTTAGCTTGGAGGTAGAAGCGAAACAGAACAAATCTCACTGGACCACGCTTCACTCATTCGAATCTAGAGCAAATGATGGTCGTTCGAATCTAGAGCAGACATCGATTGGGGATGATTACTTTCTCCATACTTGTTGCCACGGCCATTCTTTAGGAACTCTCGTGGTGTCGGGTCGCGTTTCAACCCCATTGTCATATTAGTCGGACTGTCGTAGTCTCTTGGAGAATTCGATGCTGCACTAGCATGAATGTTTTTTCTATCGTTTCGCGATCTAAAGACTCGAAGCAACCACAAATGTGAAACCAGGAGAGATTCTGTCTCCTTGTTCTTTGACATCATTCGTATCCAATTCTACAGGCCAACAATCTCACGTTGGACGTATAGACAAGCCAGCCGTCTGTTTTTGTAATACTTCGTATATGCAATCTGGAGTTTGGGGAATCCGTCATATCATAAGCCGTCCCTCAAGTGAAGGTCGTTTTGCTCACTTTTCTCATTCGAAGTTTGCTCTCTCGATGTCCGTTCTTCCTTTCCTTTCCCACCAAAAGCAGAGTCCCCAAGCTTTTATCATTCGAATTTGGGGAACCTGGGTTTGTTGTCCAAGCTTGTCGGGCCGGTCCATGTAAGGACCTCATCTCCAAATTTCAGAACGCAAACGAATTACATGTTCGACTCACCTTTGCCCATGACTTACCTGATCTGTGGTACACTCACCTAAGTCGAGCTCATTATCACCCGAAAAGATATATTTTCTACTGTAACAAAGTGAATATTTTATATACCATCGGAATTAACACACGCATGATATTGAGAGCCCGCTAATCGTACTGCCTCTAATTTGAGATCTCACGTCGGCTCTCATTTCAAAATTCGAGTTCGGGATAGTTCAACTCGCATTATAAATCGGGACAATCAAATATTTTAGCAGCGATCGGAACGTCCAACAAGCTTACATTTTATTATAAATATAAAGATGAGCTTGCGAAATCGGTTTTCAATTAAAAAGCGAATGGGTATTTTCACGAGAAAATTAATTAATTATTTTTTTTCGCAGTGCGACAATATTCGAATTTCTAGATGGTCGCGACGGCGTCGTTTAATGGATGGACGATTTCGATAAGAATCGTCTGTTATAAACAGGTCGGCCCCAAACGACTTTACGCGCCGAAGACAATAAGGCAATTCGATCTCCTTCTTCCCCGAAGTCAAACGCATACGCGTTTCTTCATTTCTTCTTCTTCTTCTTCTTCTTCTTCGTGATCAGTTCTTCATCTTCATCTTCATCTTCATCGTCTTCAATGGCGTCGATCTACACCTGCAAGGAGTGCGGGGCCAACCTCAACCTTAGCAGCGGCCACCTCTACCCGCCGGACTTCTACTTCGAGGCCGGGAACAAGGACTCCCTCTCCTTCTCCTCCGTCGACGCCTCCAAGTTCCGGTTCGAGAAGGAGGACAAGATCAGGCCCTTCTTCGAGACCCTCAACTACTGGGGCATCCAGCGGACGCGGACCAAGATCATCTGCAACCCCTGCGGCCGCGTCGTCGGCCACGTCTACGACGACGGGCCCCCGATGACGGACAGCCCGGGGCAGCTCCACATGGGGCCGAGCCAGGTCATCCCTAGGGCTCCGAGGTATCGGTTTAAGAACAAGGCTCTGCATGTGACTTCCCAGACTTGAAGAGAGTTCCCGAGTGTTCTTCTTTGGGGTGAAGGGTTAGGGCTTCGATGTTTTTGTTGTTCTGGTATACGTTTGATAGCGTGGATTGGCTGATTGTGTTATATGTGGATTATGATAGTCTCAGAGAAGTGGAATGTGTTGAACGGAGTACCCTGCGTTGCTGTTGTTCTAGACTTGCTCAATGAAATCATGAATTAAGTTTATGATTCAGTGCAGTTTCGCTATCTGATTTCCGCTTTTGCTTTACCCGGGATCGGTTTAGATTCTTATCTTATGGTTAGGAGGCTTGGTGGGTGAAATGTATGCTTTTTAATTCGGTGGAGTTTCGCTATCTGATTTCCACTTTTGCTTTACCTGGGATCGGTTTAGATTCTTATCTTGCTGTGGGGAAGCATGGTGGGTGAAATGTATGCTTTCTAATATTTCATATGTTCTACTTGTGATAGAAATCCATTCTAAAGTGAGCTACCTGGGGCACTGTTGTACCATTATAACCAGTGAATTGCCAAAAATAGTTTGGAGCCTGGGCTAATGTTTGTCCCTCATTTCTCTATACAAGATTGTATATTGTTTGATTTCTGCGGGAGGTCTTTGGACCATCTCATAGATTGGCTATGAGAAATAAGATCGCATAGAACTGAAGAAAAACAAGCCCTGTATTCTGTTGCATCTCGTGCTTGACTTGTTCTAGGATGTACGGTTGATTTGTGGAGAAGGGACTGTTGCGAAGTAATGGGATATTGGGAACTGATTCTATATAAGTTAGCGGGAGTGTTGAATGTGGTTCTGAGTACCTGTCGAGGGCTTAGGTGCTTGACGACATGTTAATTGGAATCTTCAAATCATGCTTTCTATTTTTCTTATTCCTTTCACCTGTTTTTTTCTGTTGATGCGTAACATGTAAAGAGGATCCTTGTCCCTGAGCCTACTTATTGGCTAAGGCCAGCTGCTGTTGTTGTTACATTTTCCAATCCCATATAATATATTGAATGATCATGTATTTTCCTGCATTGCTATCCATGCTTAACCTCAATATTGTTCCATTATTGATGTTGACTTTCAAGTTACTGTCAAATACTACCCAATGCCGATGCATCATCTTACTTCACTGTACCTATTCCTTGCTTTGGCAAAGATCTATTAAGGCCAATGAAGTCACCCAACGTAGCTTGTCTTGGCCAAAATAAAAAAACAATGTAGAGCAGTTAATACAGTTTATCTCAGAGTGCTGAAGCAGATATGATGAATTTAATTCAAGTAATTACAATGTTCAGCTCTGCTTTTCATCTTAGCTTCTTGTGTGCTTAATCAATTGAAACCATGGTTTGATTCACAAGACTTCTTGTGTACTTGTTACTAATTGATCTGAGCAAATGACAGTGCTGTGAAATGGTAATTTACTGTTCATTCTTCAAATCCTGTCAAATTCCTCATGCTTTCTGCGGCATATCTATCTGAATGGCCTTTGCACAGCGGTAAGCAGTCTTTTTGTCTTGGTCCGTTTCATCTCCTCACTATCTCTCATTGGCCCCTTTTAGACTGTAACAAAGTCTGAAAATGTACAATCGTTACTTTTCTCTAACTTGAGACACATGGATGTCATTACGAGCCTTTCGGTCCCAGGAGATGAGGTGGTGATGTTGGGAAAAAGAGAAGTGCTTTTGACTGCTACAACAAATTGAATGATAGTCGAGAGCTGATCGGGGCAAAATGATCGGTATATGTAAACCCATTTTCTGCGTTGTGGTCTTTTTTTAAGTTCTGATGGCTGATGTAAAGCAACCAGCTCTATCAGTTTTCCGAGATCCGTCTGCAACTGCAAGTCTCTTTGCTCTCCGGGCTGTGGTTGCATCACCAATGTCTTCTGATTTCCTTATTAACTTGTGGCATGTTAACAAAAGGTTTAGCAATGAGCACCGAGCAGATGTCCTATTATTAATGACTTTCCGGAGAAAAAAGATTTAATTGTTGGCTTTGAGAACTCTGCTAGGCCGTAGACTTTACTGGGGGGAAACTGAAAGATCCGGGGCTTGTTAAAAGTTCTACAGAAATGAAACGTGTACTGTGCGCGCTTGGCGTTTGGTTGGGCACTTCAAGACTTAAGTACGGTTCCTATCCTCAAAGAAGTCGGCGTAGTTATCCTCCATTCTCAGATGAGCAACAAGCAGGGGACTATGTTTCATGTTTTTGAGCTTTCGGTTGTTCATATCATCATAGCGAATAAACATTCCTCTCTGTAACTGTTCTGCTTGATGAGACTTGTGATTGCATGAAGCTCACTGGGGAAGAGTACCAGGATGGATAAGAATTCCAGCAGTTAGATGGGAGAGGAAATCCAATGCTAGATCATGTGAACTTTCTTTGGTTTGAATTTTTGCATGAATGGTAAATAATCAAATCTCTCTTGAACATTCCTGGGGGAAGCGTCTTCCTCTGTTATAAGTACGACACACAGTTCAATTATTATTGTTGACTTTTTCTTACCTTGTCCTTTTTCCGTTTTTGAGTTAGGCAGGCGTAGAAGTAGATTGGGGATGATGTGCTAGCAATCAAGTACCCAAACCCTCTTTGCTACGAGCTTATCAGGAAAAGGCCCCTCCCTATGAATGGGACCATCATTGGATCCAATTTGGAGGAATGGGATCTCTATACATGAGATTCGACGGTTTACGCTTGCAAAGGAAAAGCCGTTCTACGCAAATCTAGAAAATCACGAATTTCACATAACACGATAATGTTATGCGAATCGATCATAACTTTAATTCGGGATAAAAAGACAAAATAACTCCAGTTATTCACGGGATTACCAAACATGTTATACCTATCCAAATGTTATCAATCACATCTTGATGATTCTTCTAAATATAAAATGGAGTCCAGCACGACCATCTCTTCCATGAACAGTAGTTACCGACATGGAAACATTAAAAAACGAACCTTTGTCCGCGTAGAAGCTTCAAAACATCAACGAGTCGCTGCCTTTGCCATGCCCGGTGCCACCACCTCTCTGCACATCGCTGCAATAAAAAATTTCGGATAAAAAGCCGCGCATTCAAGTCTTCGATTCCCAGATCTCGCTCCATCTCTCTCTCTCTCTCTCTCCCCCTACCGGAATCGAGCTTGGCATTCTCGCGAATTGACTGCAATGGCGAAACAGAGGACCTCGCGATTCCCGGCTCGCAAGTCGTCGGCGTCGGCGTCGTCCTCGACCCTGATCCTCACGCTGCTCGTCATGTTCTCCTTCGTCGTGCTGATCCTCCTCGCCCTCGGGATCCTCTCGATGCCCGGCTCCTCCTCCTCCTCCCTCGGCGGCAGGCCGAAAGCGAACGATCTGGCCTCGATCGTGAGGAACACCGTCGACAGGTGGGATTGTTGTTTAGATTTTCGATTGCGTTGTGGTGTGGTGTGGTGTGCGGCGGAATGTGAATTGAGTGGAGTCGGATTGGTTTCCGTGGCGTTGCAGGAGTAAGGAGGACGAAGGGCGAGGGGAGCAGTGGGTGGAGGTCATATCGTGGGAGCCTCGAGCTTTTGTATATCACAACTTTTTGGTGAGTCTTTGTTTATCTAGTCGCTGCTGGAAATGTCTCTTTTTTCTTCTTCTTGAGGGGTCTGGATTGCGATTTGGTTGCATCAGCATGAGAGTTTCGATGGCTTAATGAAGTCTAGATGTATAGTAACTCTGGTAGAATTAATTTTTCGGCTGAAAGTTTCTTTTTTTTGTAGCATGCCGTTTAGGTGAAATGTGCATTGGCATAATCGTTTATTTGGTTTCTTGAATCTCTTGATCGCTGTGAGCAATCGCGGATGCATCGTGACGGAATGCTATGCGATTCTTAAAAATTTCTCTTTCACTAGTTCAGTGGAATACTAAAAGGACGCTACTTTCCCAGGGAAAAAGACACTAAGGACAAATATTTTAGACAGAACTTAAGAGTTCTTGATCATGGGTCATTCGACCCATGATTCAGTGCTTTCCCCATTTTGTGCTCCGGGTTTTGGTGTGCTTGATGATCAATTAAAATACCTTAAGCTACTTTTTCCACCGCAAACTGCCTTCATGTGTTTTAATTGGCAGTAAATTTTCATTTTTATTGAGGTCTATGACTGTGAAGTCCATTCGCACATCATGACTCTACACCCTTTGCCTGTTTGCAGTCTAAGGAAGAATGTGAATACCTCATTGAACTTGCAACGCCTCATATGGAGAAGTCAACTGTGGTAGATAGTGAAACTGGCAAGAGTAGAGATAGCAGGTATGCACCCGAAATTTTCCATTTTCAATGGCGAATGAACGAAATTTGAATCTCCAAGTGCCGCGAGTTTGAATTATTAGCTATACTTAATCATAAGAAGCTTGTACTTCCTCATATAGGGTACGTACGAGTTCCGGAACATTTCTGGCGAGAGGACGCGATAAAATAATTAGAGACATCGAGAAAAGAATTGCAGATTACACCTTCATACCTGTAGGTAAGAGGCTGAGCTGAATTAAGGTTTTGCACTGGTGGATATCCATTTTCAATATTTTTCTCGGCTGCCCTTACCAAGTTTCAGAGTGTTATTTTTTACGTGTTCTGTTGCCGCTTCTTCCTTGCTCCTTGTTCTAGCTTTATAAAGATATGCTTTTGTGGAATAGCAGGAGTAATTTAGTACAGTAAGCTCCTGAATTTAGGTACAGGCCAAAAATAAAGCCCCTTGGCAACTTTCCCAAGAATTACAGATGTGGGGGGGGGGAATATGTCTATCTAATTGAAGGATCATACTAGCTCCTGACGATTACCAACATTGGGTGTTTCTTACAAAACAAAAAAAAGAAAAAGAAAAAAAAATGAAGAAGAATTAAGGTAGCACTTGTATGTTTGTGTATATAGAACTCTTGTAGAACATGTGAGTTTTGCACGAGAGTTTAGATTAAATTTAGAGTTATTTCTCAGCCTTGTTAGAGCATTGTTTTAGAGTTTTAGAGGAGTTTGCACCTGTGAAATATTATGAGTAGCTGTTGTTTGTGTACATAGAGATACATGTGGAGAAATTTTGAGACTAAACAGTTTGAACCTACAAACATGTTTGTTTTACAGTTACCAAGGAGATTTGTTGATATTTGTTATGAAGTAGATGACTAGATGTTACTATAACATTCCTTTTTGTCACTCTATGCCTCCTTAAATATCTTTTGGACTATATCTAGATTTAAGCTTTAATGATTAGACAATTCCAAAATCCAGAGAATGGAGAAGGACTTCAAGTTCTGCACTATGAAGTTGGTCAGAAGTATGAGCCACACTTCGATTACTTCCTTGATGAATATAATACCAAGAATGGTGGTCAGCGCATGGCCACACTTCTTATGTACCTGTAAGTAGATTGTTTGCATCTACTGTATTGTGATCCCGAGATCTTCCTGGCTGTCTAGGTCAATATTTCATGATCCTTTACTTTTCTGTTTGCTCTATGGTACAGTTCAGATGTTGAGGAAGGAGGTGAGACAGTCTTTCCTGCTGCCAAAGGGAATTTTAGTTCTGTTCCTTGGTGGAATGAGCTATCTGATTGTGGGAAGAAGGGTTTATCCGTTAAACCAAAGATGGGGGATGCCTTGCTCTTCTGGAGCATGAGACCTGATGCCACATTGGATGAATCTAGTTTGCACGGTCAGTTGTAACTCTTGCTGATCAGGTTGTAAGAATGATTTCATCACCCATGAAGATAATGCTGGCATTAGAAGAAGGCTCTTCTCCTGTACTTTTGCATGCCTCTATTTAAAATCTAAAAGCTGGAATGCATGGAGATTTCCCAAAGTTATATTTTCCAAACCTGGCACCGTTGAATGCTGAATGAGAGAAGCTCTTGTCCCTTTGCTTTCAGGTGGTTGCCCTGTGATTAAGGGTAATAAGTGGTCATCTACCAAATGGATGCGTGTCCACGAGTACAAAGTCTGAATTATTATACGGAAGGTGAGTTCTCCACTTATCATGGATGCACCTTTTTATTAACATTGTTACATAAGCGTATTGTCCAGCAGAAAAAAACTGGTGAATGTAAAAGCATTTAAGTCTTTTTCCAGTGTATCCTGACACATGGCAGTCATAAGATGTTGCCTTTGTTTCATTGCATTCTGTGAACCCGAGTCTTTCACATTTCGAGATTCGCGGGTTTCTGGCAAATTCTTGTCTTATCTGATTGGACAAGTGTTCGATCTTGACTTTTCAACCTTCGGGCTTAATATTGGCCAGGCATATGAAAGAAGTTTCTGATACGGAATGTTCTTCGGGTCAATTTCCTTTTTTCTTTCACTACAAAGAAGACTGAAAACTGATCATTTCAGGAAGCTGATGATTGAATTCCACCCATTGCTTCCTCTGGTTTCTTAGCATTTTAAAGATACCCTGATGATGGCAAACTTTTTTGTGTCCTATTGTTATATATCCTTTCACCTACAGAAGGGACTACTTTTGGTCCTTAATGCACAACTGATCACTTTGACCGCTACAGTACATTGTCCTATACTTGTATGTTCTAATGAAGTTCGTGAAGTGATGCTGTTATCATACTGGAAAGTCTAAGATGAATCATCATTCCTTTTGTTTCAGATCCACTTATAGTCCTCTGCGAGCAGACAATCCTTCCATGTTGTAGATCTTGGTTCATTGCTTTTGTGCTGACTGCTGAGTAAATTTCTTGTTGTAACTTCAGATAGAGCTGTAGAAAAGACACAACAGGAAGATAAGTTACATTTCCTTTTTCTTGTTAAATTAAAATTTTCCCTTTGGAAGGAACTGTAGTGCTTGAGATGCTGACGAGAACGATCGAGATGCCAAATTCGAGGTTGTATTCTTTCTTCTTTTGTATCCATGAGCACCTGTGTCAACTTTACTCAGTTTGACGGTATTAACCTTGTCTTTACCTGGACTCTGCAAGTTTCTTTGCCCTGCTCGAATGCATGGGACATTCACATGGAACAAAAGTACGTTGTACATAGAATACTCATTTTGTCCTACTTTAATCATGTCTGATTCCATAAAACATGTACCAATTTGCATGTGCCTCTCTTTGTGCCCTTGATACTTGCTGTTCTGTCAAATCACATAAATTTGGTCACTTCCACTTCCCATGGAATCGTGAATAGCCTTAATAAGCACAAGAAACTCCTTTGTGATCGTCTCTCTTTAGGCTAAATATCACTCTCAGGCTTAGTTCAAGATCGATGGATGTTTATTCCATGTCTTACACACATCGTATTTGATTCCCAAGTCTAATACATGCACATGTCAAATTTCCAGTTTCCGTAACATGGGGGCTATCACTCTCTGTGCTTATCCTTGACTAAGGTCCGGATGACATATTGCAGCATACCACCGTGATCAAAATAAGCCAGCTCCACCTGCACAAGCCATGGGTGGATTCAACATATTAGAATTTAGATTCAGTAAAGATGAATGGCTGAAGTATAATCTGAGATGTCCAGTTACCTCAGTGTCGAAGCGCACTGTACACGTAAATGACTTGCCGTTGCCCGTCACAACTTTCACATCTTGATCAGGTTTCAATTCACTCGCTCTGTTTGGAAGGTCAATCGTGTATATTTCATGGCCATCCAGCCCGAGAGTCTCGGCGTCCTCTCCAGGTTTGAAACAGAGCGGGATAATTCCCATTCCAACTAGATTACTCCGGTGAATTTGCTCGAAGCTCTTTGCTATGGCCGCTTTGACCCCCTAAATTTTTGGTTGTTGCAAGGGTACGAGTGGTAACAGCAAAAGCATATAATCAGAAAAAGGAGTCCTCTGAAAATATACGTACCAGTAACATCGGACCCTTGGCGGCTCCATCCCGGGAACTCCCTATACCGTACTCAGAACCAGCCAAAACAATAGTGTCCTGGCCCTCATTCTTGTATCTCTGAGAAATAAGTTACAAAATACAAAGTAAAGCTGTCAAAAAAGAGAGTTAACAGCTCAGAATATGGTTATACTTATTAACAACATTGATTTGGCTTGACTTAGAACAGACAAATAGCATCCTCAAATGTATAATAGTGCACGTAAGTGCTTGAGGAAGGTTTTGGAGACTTTCTTAGGAACATTTTGTTAAAATATATTTTGAGTTTGAGTTTGTTAAGGCTGCGCATGGCAATCATTCTGTGCCCGGGAACAGATTCTGGTCAGAAATGATTCTTTTTGATTCTGTGCCCGGGAACTGATTCTGAGCATTTGAAGGCGTTTGGTAACGGCCCAAAATTTCTATTCCTGAAATAGTAAAAGAACAGAAATGCGTTTGGTAACGGCATAAAATTTCTTTTTATTAATAATATTTTAATAACATTTTAAATATTTTAATATTTCTTTCTTTTCTTTTTTTCTTCTCCTCCTTCTTGGCCATGGCCGGTAAAATATTTTTTAGTTAATAATACTTTTATTAAAAATAAATTTTTTATTTTTTTTACCATGGCCGGTAAAAATTTTTCTTATAAATAATTTTTTATTAATAATTTTTTTAAAAATATTTTACTAAAAATATTTTTATTGAAAATATTTTTTTCTTTTTTTTTCGCCATGGCCTGGTCGCTGGCCATGGCCGGTAAAATATTTTTTTTATAAATTTTTTTTATTAATAATATTTTAAATAAAAAATATTTTTATTGAAATTTTTTTTTTGCCATGGCCAAGTCGCTGGCCATGGCCGGTAAAATATTTTTTTATAAATAATTTTTTTATTAATAATATTTTAAATAAAAAATATTTTTATTGAAAATATTTTTTTTATTTTTTTTCGCCATGGCCGGTATGGCCGGTAAAAATTTTTTTTATTAATAATATTTTTTTTTATTTTTTTCGCCATGGCCTGGTCGCTGGCCATGGCCGGTAATATTTTTTTATTAAAATATTTTAATCTCGCCAGATACGGCGAGGGTGACCCTCGCGCCGAACATTAGAAGCTATATTAAAGACCAAGAAAAAGAAGAAGAAAAAAAAAACTGATTCTCATTTTTGTTTCCAGAATCAAGAAACTACTTTTTTTTTTATTCTTGATTCTGCTCCAAAACTGATTCTAGGCACAAATTTGCAAGAATTTGTGCCCAGAATAAAAAAATTAAACAAACGGATTTCTATTCCCAAACTGATTTTGGGAACAAAAAAATAGAATCAAACACTATTTGGCAAGTTACCATGCACAGCCTACATGAATCTCAACCGACGAGAATGTGTGAACTCGGCCACGTGCGAGTCAAAAATTGGCGTATGAGAATTGTTGGCCGAGATTTCAACAAGCGTGAAGAAAATTTAATTACGCGTGAATATGTTGCCTTCTCCAAGTCAAAATGATCCTGCATGTTGGATTCTTTTGCATGCTGAATTTATTGCCGCAGAAGGACATTCTAATGTTCGTACAGAAGAAGGGACTCACATATATATTATATATATTTAGTTGTGGAGTCAGTGGTTTGAATAATTAATGAATGGTGTGGTTTTCTTTTGCCGCTTTCCATTAACTCTCTTCAGAGCAGCCGCACAAAAGGGAAAGAATTGGTGGAGCTCCCGTGTTACTTTCTATTGTTTTTCATCCCACTGAAGAAGACTTTCTCGCGCTACAATAAATGATGGGAGGCTTCTTTTAGGACGTGCAATCGGATCGGATTTACTCGAAAATGGGATCGGTCCATCCGAAAAATAAATTCAAAAATCGATTTTCGTTTGAACCGGTTCAAGAACCGGTTCCATTTTTTGGGAACCGGTTAGAACTGACCCGGTTTTCGATTCCAAGTGAAAATCCAACCGGACCGATTTTAGAATCGATTTTATATGGAGGTTCCACTTGCAATTTTATATGGCCAGAATTCAAAACATTATATCAGGAAGGATGAGAGAAGTAATCATTATCTGCGGATAATATAACTTAAGGGCTTGTAAGCATTATAGAGAGCAATTTCCTTTTTCTTAAAATTTTTGTTTTGTAACGAATAAACTACTTATCCAATTGGAACCTATACTGTTTTATCACGTCCATTAAATTATTGAGACTAAGATAATCTGCTTTTGTATGAATACTTAAGATTGTTTGCACAATCAAACCTATAACCTTTGATTTGAGTTACAAGTTTTCCTATTTGCTAACCGGAAAAAATGAAACCAAAAAAAGGAAAAAAAAAGTAGGTTCTCGGGTAGATCCTGGAACCGGACCGAAAAAATAGGTTAGGTTCCAAAACAGGTCCAGGGTCAACAGGGTAAGTTTTAGGTTCCAAAAACTATGTTATGAATCGGTTATAACAAGATTGGTTTCAGGTTCCAGGTCTAGGACTGACCCACCCTGGAACCGATCACCCCTAGCTTCTTTTGGTTATAAATGGAAGAGTTCTCTGAACGTTGAATGTGTGTCCTTGAGCACCGAGACTGCACTGAGGAGTTGGGCAGAGAGTTCTTGTGAGGGTTTGTTTGTTGTAATTATACCCGAGTGATTTAGCCAGTTAAATTCTTGTTAGTATAATTTGTATAATTCCTTGAGTGAGATTTCACTAGGAATTGTGAGGGGCTAAACACTGAGTGAGCTATTGGGTGTAATTAGGGGTTGGGAAACAATGAGAGTATGTTTGAGTGCTTAAGTGATTGTAATCTCTGTTGTATCGCTTGTTTCTATAATGGAATTCCGTGCTACTCTCCTCGTGGACGTAGGTTTCGATATTTGGATCGAACCACATAAATTCGGTGTCGGATTTCCTTTCCTTCATTCTGACTATTTTACCAGATTCGCTTGGCTATTATTCACGACACATTTCAAGAACCCCCCTCAGCTTGACCCGTATAGCTCATACAATTAGTCAACTGATTTCCCTGCGGAGTCCCAGGTAATCAAAGCATTTATCAGTTCAAGCTGCAGAAGTTAATAGATTTATGCAATTGAAAAGTTACCATAGCAGCATCGAACACGTGCATCTTTTCCCCACTGGGGATGTGGATCGTCCAAGGCCCGACCTCTCCTTCCATGAGCTTGTTGACAATTCGGATATTGGCGAAAGTGCGCCTCGCCATCACCCCGTAATTGCCACGGCGACTCCCATAAGAGTTGAAGTCTCTCCTGTCGACCCCGTGTTCCAACAGGTACTTAGCAGCAGGACTGTCTTTGTGGATGCTACCGGATGGCGATATGTGGTCGGTCGTGACGCTGTCTCCAAAATAGAGCAAGCAATGTGCGTCCTTCACGCTGCGGGAGCCCGGAGGTGTCATTGTCATATCGTCAAAGAAAGGTGGCTTAAGAACGTAAGTCGACGCCGAGTCCCCCGCGTAAAGAGTTCCAGAAGGTACATGTAATCCATTCCACAGAGGATTTCCTTCAGTTATTGCATCATACGTGGTTTTGAACATATCTGGAAGCACATTCGACTGCACAGCCTGCAATACAGCGGAACCGATATATTAAGTTATCTCTTATATTGCCAATTCCGGAGGAAAGACTTGAGTCACACTTCACGTTCACGGTTTATCAATTAGGCCGGTTGCTCACATTTGCTATTTCTTCATTTGTCGGCCAAATGTCCTTCAAAAATACACTTCTTCCGTCTTTTCCGTGCCCACAGGGTTCTGTCTCAAGATCAATGTCAACCTGCCGAACAAAAATCATCTTCAGGATACAACGGCCAGTTAGCCACTGGATTATCAAGTGCGACAGACCATGTGCCGAAGTAAGAGGAATCGAACCAGCAAAATACATACAGTGCCGGCAAGAGCGTAGGCCACCACAAGGGCGGGAGAAGCTAGATAATTAGCCCGCGTAAGGGGATGCACGCGGCCCTCGAAATTCCTGTTCCCAGAGAGTACAGCCGCTGCTACAATATCTGGTCGTTGGAGACCAACAACTGGCTCTCTTCAGAAGGATTTTCCAGGACAT